TTCTGGGATGTATTTTGAATAAGTATTAATATGATTTAATTGAATAATATGATTACTTAAAAGAAAATGTTAATAAATTAAAATAATAATAATAAAATTAGACAAATTCAATATTATATGTGTAAAGCACATCAAAGTTGAATGAATTTAATTTTCATTTTATTGAATTTTAATTGAATAATTGTAGCACTTGCTAAAATGGAATTATATAGTTTGATCTTTCAGACTTTAATAAATTTTCATTATTTTCATTGAATTGTAATTTTAATGTAATTAAAAATTTTGGTTGTCTAAATTTTCAATCAAAATTAAAACTTAAATCTAAAGTTATAATATAAAACTCAAATTTTATTTCAAATATTGGTGGAGAAGGAGTTGCAATAAGAGTTTCGAAAATACCAATAAATATTAGATCATGTAAGATTATTAATAATATTGCAGAAGAAAAAGGAGGAGGATTATATATAGAATTAAATTCTAATGATTTTGTAATAAAAAATACAATTATAATGAATAATAAAGCAAAAATAGGGGGAGGAATATATTTAGTTGGTGATAGCAATTTAAATAAAGTTAATTTAGTTTCTTCAATATTAATATAAAATATTGCAACTATTTATGGAAGTAACATTATTGAATAACCTACTCACTTAGCTTTATAAATAAATTCTAATGAATAACCTACTTTAAAATTAGAGTAAGAAAATTATAAAATAAATTTATTGAATCTATAGCCTTATAAAATAATTGAACAAAATATTATAAAGGTTTCTAATAATTTAATGATTCCAAGTAATTAGTAAATTTACAAGTATGCCTTATTTAATTTATAAGAAAAATAATACATTAAATATATTAAATAATTATGTTTATATTTTAAAAATAGTTACAATGAAGTCTTATTAGATTTGAAAGATTCATCATGTATAGTATAAGATAAGGTTATTTCAAATATTTCAAATAAAGAATTAAGTTTAAGTAGAAATCAATCAATATTTTTTGATTCATAAAACAATTGTTTTGATATTGGTCATTTATCTTTTAGTTTGGATCCTTATAATTAAAGTGAAAAATATTTGCAAATTACTTTGAATTGTAATTCAGGAGAATCAAAAAAGATGTTGAAATATTTAATTAATTCAAATAGCTTTAAATGTTAACTTGGAGAATTCTATGTAGATAATGGATGTCAAATCTGTTAGTCAAACCAAGGATTTTATTCTGTTACATATGACACAATTAAATGCTCTATATTTGATAAAACTAAGTTTTTGAACATAACAGCTAACATGATTTAATTATAAGGAGGTAATTGGAGACCACATTATTTATCTGATTATTCTTAATTGTGCTTTAAAAACTTAAATTTTTGTCAAGGAGGTTGGGGTGTTGGAGATGAATTATGTAAAATTGGACACATTGGAGGTTTATGTGAAGAATGTGATATTAATAATATCATAGGTAATGGATAGTATTATAAGAATTAATGGGATTCTCGTTGTTTTATATGCTAAGGAATTGATAATGGAATACTTCCATTTATTCTAGCATTAATTTAGTATAAAATCAGATTTATATTATATAGAGCTTTGATATCAATAACTTTAACTTTAAGAAGCATTAATAAATCAAATAGATTGTTTTCATCACTAAAAATAAGACAAAAATTCAGTAATATCATCTTTAGATTAAATTAAGGTATTAATCTGATTATATATAAGATCATGAAAGTATTTTAATTAAAATGTGGTTAAATTATTTATGGATATTTTCAGTAATTTTCACTTTTAATATTAATTTTTAATTTTAATTTACTTTGATTGATTCAACCAGTAATAGTTTTTATTTTATGGCATATAATTTAGACTGTTATTTATCTAATTATGGAATTAGTTTAATTTATTTGAGAATATTTTTGATCTTATTTTTGATGCTAATTTAATTCTGCATAATTCTTGCAGGATCATTTATTTATTTAAAATTGAAAAAATAACATATTGATTATAGTATACTATCAAATACTTTACTCTATTTATTTGTTTTTAATTATGGAGGATTAATTAAAATGTATAAATGTAGCCTTTAAATTTTATAGGTTTTGTTCAACTATTTCAATTCGAAAGATTTCAAATATTAATTTTATTTAAGGTGATGTTTCACTTAAATATGGTACTAATAATCATTTTTAATGGATTACTTTTTTTATAATACCTGGATTATTAGTATTTGGTTGTATTATACCTTTGGGTTTATTTCTGTTGATGTACATTAAAAGAAGTCAACTTGAAATAATCAAACTTAGAAAACACATTTGTTATTTATTTAATGAATATTCCTCTACAAATTACTTTTGGGAATTCATTAAAATTTCCAATAAAGCTATAATTATACTTATTACCACTTATTTTGAGACAGATGTGTAACTTAAAGCATCCTTGTTAGGATTGTGTTTGCTTGTCTATTAAATCTTAGCTGGAATAAGCAAACCTTACTATTTATCAAAATTCAATACTTTAGATTTAAGAACTGGATAAATATGTTCAATATCAATCTTCCTTGCTGCAATTAAATATGTAAGCGAAGAATTTAGTCATCAATTCTTTTCTATTGCTCTCTCTATCATCATTATTCTTCTTTGTATTAGACTCTGCTTTCCATTTATTATGGAAATAACAGGAGTATATTATAAGAGGTTTAAGTATCCCTTCATAACATATTTACTTTTTTTTGTTAATAAAATCAAAAAAAATTCATTATTCTCAAAATATTTGGCTAATCTATTATAATAATCCAAATTAAGAGAAAAAAGATTGAAAAATAATTATGCAAAACTTAGATAGAACATATCATCTAGATCAAAAATTTTAATGGGATCAAGAAAGTAAAATGAAAATTTATTTTTTCCAGATTATCTTCATCAATATTCTATTCAACCTAGAATAAGACATTTTAATAAAACAGTTTCAGATGTATCATAGGTCTAGACCAAGAATGAGATTGACTTATTTTTTTATTGTTCAAAATTATCTAAAAATTTATTGAAATCTAATAAATTTAAAATATTAATAGAATTCAAATTTTATAATCAAAAACTGATTTGATTTGAATCATAGTATAAATTTAAATAATCAATTTATAATTATTAATATATAATTAAATTAAGTAAAATATTTTATCTAAAAAGTCAAATATGTTAGATTCATAGATTTGATATAAAAGAACATTTTTTAATTTTAAATAGATCTAATAATTAATTCTATCAACTCATGTATATTTTAATATCATGTTGAAAAAATCAAACTGTTTTCAAAATTAATTGAAACAATTTAATTTACAAATTAATAGAAGAAAATTTGATTTTATATATTTTTATTTATTTTTCAATTAAAAGAATTTCTAAAAAAAATTCTATAAAATAATATAATGTGAGGTTTCTCAAAATAATTTATTATGAAAATATTGTATTAAAAACTTTATCAAATCAACTCATCAATCAAAACCATATTTTTTTTTATAAAAAGTAAATCTACTTGTTCTTCAACAATTTAAACCATATATATTGATGCGGCTGAATATTGATAATGATGAATTTCTTGATTATTTTAATGTAACCAAAATGTATTATTAAAATATTTAAGAGATGAAGATTGTAATACTTAATTAATGATCTCTACTTCTAGTTATTTTATTTCATCATCTGTGATTTCAAATTTATATTCCTTTTCTTTTTCTTTTAGAGAATTTTAAATCATTATTTAAACTTGTTCTTTAATTAATTAATTGATTTTAGATTCATTTTCTTTTATTCTATTATATTCTTGTTATGCTTTCATTTAATAATCTAATTTAAGTTTTGAGTAAGATTCTAAATGTTTACTTATAATAGGAATATATTAATATAAAAAAGATTCAATTACAATTTATCCATATTAATTGGCAAATTCAATAATGGCTGTCAAATCCTAATTAACTTTCGGAATTACCTTTTCTCTCTTAGAGTTTATATAATCATTACAATTATCATCAATATCTAAACATTAAATTAATTTATTCTATAATTCTTCTTTATAATTATATTTCTTCATTAAATCTGAAATGCATCTTATGATATCATAATTATTTGAATTTTATGATTTACATAAATTAATTATTGGTATCATTATTTCATTATATATTTAATTCCTTTTATCATTATTAGTCCATTTTAAATGAATTCTATTAAAACAACGATTGATGATAATTTATATAATTTCTTTCATTTTACTAGATGCTTTTTGTAAAAATTTAGATTTCTCATAAATTGGACATTAATATCCTGTAAAATGGATTGAATATATTAATATTTGATAAATAAGAGCAGGATACTAACTATTTTCTGTTAAATGAAGCCAAATTCTATTTAAATCAAGATAATTATGTTCAATTCCTTAAGATTCAATTAGTTATACTTAATTTAATAATTGAACAAATAAATAAAGCAATTATCCTAAATGAATACGAATAAAATCGGATTCCTATATAAATATAAATGAAAATGTATTACAATCCAAAATATTAAATCTGATAATCTAATACATTTTCTACGATTAATTTTATAACTTATTGATTTATTTTCTAAATCTAATTATACTTCTCCTATTCTATCAAACTCTAATGCTTTTTTTATTATATCCTCATTTTCATAAGAATATACTTCCTCACTTACATAAAACAAATTTAACATCTTATAATTATTATATTTCTATTAACCACTTAAAATATATATCCTTTTTTAATTAATTACAGAATTAAAATTATCAATAAGTGTTTAACTAAATCAATAGATTACAAGACAGAAGATGTCATTTCATTATTAGAGAACATTTTTTTTAATTGAATTTTAAAAGATAGCCAGATGTAATAATTATTTATCAGAAATTTATATGAATAATAATTCAATTGATTTACACTTTTCAAATGATATATATTGTTATCTCATTATAAATTTAATATAATATTAATCATTAATATTTAGATCCTAATAGAATAAGGTTATTATTTTTTTTTAAGAAGGCAATGCTAATTGAGAATTTAATATATTCAATTATAAGAATTTTAATTAAAGTTTGAAATATACTATGAAAGGTTTGAGATAAAATTTCTAATTTTACACAAATAAATAGAAAGAAAATTTAATGAAAATCCGGAGAGTTTAATTATGCAAAAGTGGATAGTCTTAGAACTTTAAGTTTTATGAGAATGTTATTTTATTTAAGCTTTTACCCTGTTTTTTTCATAATGAAAATTATTAATGAGTTTTGATCTGGAAGTTATTATATTGGATTATTACCTGTAGACGAGTTAAAATATTAAAACGAAAATTGATTGAAAAATATTTAGTGTTTAGAAAATAGAAAATTTTAATTGAAGAGAGAAATTANAGAGTTTATATAATCATTACAATTATCATCAATATCTAAACATTAAATTAATTTATTCTATAATTCTTCTTTATAATTATATTTCTTCATTAAATCTGAAATGCATCTTATGATATCATAATTATTTGAATTTTATGATTTACATAAATTAATTATTGGTATCATTATTTCATTATATATTTAATTCCTTTTATCATTATTAGTCCATTTTAAATGAATTCTATTAAAACAACGATTGATGATAATTTATATAATTTCTTTCATTTTACTAGATGCTTTTTGTAAAAATTTAGATTTCTCATAAATTGGACATTAATATCCTGTAAAATGGATTGAATATATTAATATTTGATAAATAAGAGCAGGATACTAACTATTTTCTGTTAAATGAAGCCAAATTCTATTTAAATCAAGATAATTATGTTCAATTCCTTAAGATTCAATTAGTTATACTTAATTTAATAATTGAACAAATAAATAAAGCAATTATCCTAAATGAATACGAATAAAATCGGATTCCTATATAAATATAAATGAAAATGTATTACAATCCAAAATATTAAATCTGATAATCTAATACATTTTCTACGATTAATTTTATAACTTATTGATTTATTTTCTAAATCTAATTATACTTCTCCTATTCTATCAAACTCTAATGCTTTTTTTATTTTATCCTCATTTTCATAAGAATATACTTCCTCACTTACATAAAACAAATTTAACATCTTATAATTATTATATTTCTATTATGAATAATTTCTTAGATAATTAAGTAATCAATTTATATTGATTTATATTTTTCTTTCATTAATATAAAATTATATTAATATACACTATCAAATGTACTACAACGATTAGTAGAAGTATGATTAGAGGAGAGCTAATTTAGACTTGAATGAAAGTGCTTTAAGAACAGAAATAACTCCTGAAGGTGTGTTTCAACAATTTTACTCTTCAGAATTGGATCAAATCATTTAGTACAAATTAATAATAAAGCAGGAAGGAGTTCTAGAATCCAAAATATCTATAAGAGATTTCATTAGATGGAACA